ATGTACCAATTTTAACGGAGCAACATTTGATACCGCAAAATTCACCTTGACAACACCTAACATTTGGCCATTATGAGGCACTACTCCTTGCCTTTTGATTGATTTTGGCCTACATATAGTCACAACATTTGTCTCCAAATCCTTCCTAATCTTTGCAATGGATTTCCACATAATTGATGTAATAACCTCAAAAAATTGGCTAGTACAATTGTCATTCATTTTGGTACCATGTACCATTGAATGCAATTCACCAAGTTGGTTTGAATTAAGATGAATAGTGTGGAAACCTATTTTACTATTGAAAGGAAGGACCCAATGGCTACCAACCGGGTCGACCCGTTTCACGGAAATGGGCTCTCGGGTGGATTTCGAAAGCGGGTATTCGGATTGTGGAGGATCTTGAAGGGAAATTAACTTTGGTTTTTCTTTGTTACTACCTTGAATTTGAATATAATGGCCCAAAGTGTTCATGAATTCTACAGCTGAGAATGCATCACCAAGTATGTGAGCCCAACTTAGGCCGACTGAAATTCCTCCACATTTGAACCAAGTCACCTGCAAAAAAATTTGTGTTATTTTTTGGGCAGTATTTACGTATAAGTTACTTTGACTTCCTTTTGTTATTCATACTTACCCAGAAAAAGAAAAAGAAAAAGAAAAAAAAAAAAAAAAAAAAAAAAAGGTTAGTCTTGTTAGATTTGTGTTAGTATATATTTTTTGAATAAACTTTTGATAATTTTTTGTTATTGATAATTGAAGATAATAATATTTAAAATCATGCATTTGCAAATGTATTTATAGAAATGTATCAATTAAAATAAAATAGAGAAAGTAGAATGTACGGAGTATGAAAAACACGTTAACAAAAACCGAACTTGTCTCATTTATCTTTCGTATATGTATAGATCTAATTAATCTAATTCATCTCAATTTGCAACATTAACCTTTTATAATCTTATGTAACACGGATATATTGACCTATATTTAGATGTGTCATGTGTGCATGGATGTTGGGCAAAAAGTGAAACAGGACTATCAAATTTAATTTAAATCAACTGTATAATTATCATATCGTACAATAAAATCATCAAAAACATAAAATAATATAAGCTTAATTATTACCTGAAGGCAAACAAGAGGGGAGAAGGGCAAGTCAGGACCAAGACCATCATCATTGTACACAAGTTGATCCTGCAAAGAGAGGAAGCCCTCCAAAGCAAGCCACTCCTCGACAGTCTTACTCGATTGAGCCTCGACGATCCTTATTCCAGCATCGTTGAGCTTGATCGATGCTCGTTCTCCGGTCTCGGAAGACGACACCCGGATCCTTCCACAAGTCTTGAAATAAACTACAAGCCTATCAAACATAACTTTTTTTATATCAAGTATACTTATAAAACTAGTCTTTTTTCCTTCTTCATTATCACTAGTATTATTAGGATTATTGAAGAAATAAAGACCCTTAAGATAATGTAATTTCATTGCAAAATCTATGCCTTTTAACTCATATGTTCTGTTTTCTCCTGCGATTTTTCCAGGCACTACTGACGATATTTTTATGTCATAGACTAAGTTATTTTCTCCTTTTGTAACTACCATTTTTTTTTTCTTCTTCTTCCTTTTGTTTAATTTTTTTTGGTACGTGGATGAAATGGGATTTGGGTGCGTGACATGTATTTATATTATGTAAACTGTACAATCTAGAATTTTGGAAGAAATCAAGTTTGACTTATTTATTCCGACTTTTTTTTTCCTGTACGCAAGCACAAAAGGTGCGTGTCAATATCGGATTGAAGCCTCACACTGATCAATTCGATTCGGGTTAACTAGTAAAGTCTTGGAGAATAAGGGAAAAGATAAGGAAATCAGTACCTTCGAAATATACATATAAAATGGTTGACATTTATATCCATCTGCTTCTCATCGTTTGATTACTTACACTGACGCTGATTGGGGAGGTTGTCCCGATACCCGTCGTTCCACATCAGGTTATTGTTGTTTTCTTGGGAACAACCTCGTCTCTTGATCGTCTAAGCGTCAACGTACATTATCTAAATCGAGTGTAGAAGCAAAATATCGAGGCGTCGCTAATGTTGTCTCTGAGGCATGTTGGCTCCGTAATCTCTTACTTGAGTTAAATTGCCCTCTTCGACAGGCTACTATTGTCTATTGTAATAATGTCAGTGCTATATCTTTCTGGCAACCCGGTACTACAACACCAACGTACCAAACACGTGGAGATGGATATTCATTTTGTTCAAGAAAATGTTGCTTTGGGAGAAGTTCGGGTTCTACATGTTCCTTCTAGATATCAGTTTGCGGATATTTTCACAAAAGGCTTATCACGGGAGTTATTTTTTGATTTCAGTTCCAGTCGTAGCGTACGACCTCCTCTCGCTATGACTGCGGGGGTGTGATAGATATTATAGTTATGATAATATTTGTCGCAGATTAGGATAATAATTGTATATATTTTGTATCCTTTTCGTATTAGGTTTACGATGTTTGTAAAACGCCATATATTTTGATCAATGGTACACACTCCAATTTAAGGATTTCTCATGAAATTTAACATTAGAGATACAATCTTTGTTACTAAAGCAAGTATGGTTAAGTCTTTATCAGACATTTAATGGGGAACTATACGACAAGGATTTGTCAACAATATAATATGATAACATGAAACATGCATCAATGTAGGTTTATGAGACTATCAGATGGTGGACCAAAACAATAAACCTAGCCATAATTGGAGCTAATTCAAAGTGGTTTAGACCCTCTAGGAGAAAAATCATGTGTAGTTGGCGAAGTAATTGCTGAAGGTATATATTATATGATACACGTAATCCCTTTTGATTTGTTCGGAGTTTGTCACATTGTTTGGAGTTAGATTGGTTGGCAAAGTAATTGCTGAAGGTACATACCATTCACAAAATCCCTTTTACTATCTATGTTAAATATTAGTTGCAACTATGGGATATTATTTGTGAAATATAAAATATTTTAAAGTTGCAATTAATGTTTAACGGAGGTAATAATTTATTCAGCGTTATTTGTGCATCGTTTGGAGTTAGATGTTTATTGATAAAATTTTCAACATGATCTTGCAAATAGACTTTATTATTTGCTCGATTAAATAGTGATATATTTAAGTTCCTCAGCGGTAACAAGTAAACTTTCACATTATTGTACAATTTCAATTGATACAATTGAGTATTTTTGTGAGAATATAAAATATTTAATTGTTAAATAATGTGAAACGGAGGTAGTATTTTCCTTAAAATATAAATTACCATATAAAGTATAGTGTGAAATATACATAAGTCAAGTTGTATTAAAAAAAACGGTGCTTTTTCAGTGTGGTTGGCCACATCAACCACACTGTGTAACCGGGGTTACTTATTTAGGGGTTACTCAGTCGGTTAAGGGTTACTTATTTTGGGGTTATTCACTCAGTTAGTGTGTTTTTGTGTGTGTTAGAGTAGCACATGACCAACCGAGTAACCACTGACCGATTGAGTAACCCCTGAATAAGTAACCTTTGCCACACTGTGTGGCCAATCACATATGATAATTAGTATAAAAAAAGAATAATCCGTAATACTCATATTATTTTAATATTACAAATTAAAAATATAACATAGTACAATGTGAGTATTAATTCGGGATAGTAGGAGTACATAAACGATAAACGGAAACCTAACCTGTAGGCAATAATTATTACTTCTGACTCATTTAAGGTTGCTTCAGCTACTTTACAAGGTTGATTCAGCCACATAAATTACATTTAAGTTCGAACAAACTAATCCTAACGTATAGTAAAACCAAAATATAAATTTTTGAGATTGTAGAAGTATGTACTTTAAGAGATCCCATTTATTTTTAACAGGAACTTTAGGATTTAAGAACACCTGAATTTGGAAGACGAGAAATTAATTAAACACCTTATTGACGATTAAAATTAAAAAGAGAGATTAAACTGTTACCGTACTCTAGTATATATATATATATATATATATATATATATATATATATATATATATATATATATATATATAGGTTTCAAATGAAAGCATTTTAATAATCTAAGAACAATATTTGATGAATAAAATTCATTATTCTCTCTTAATTTCTTTATGCTCTAGCTTATGTAGTTAGTAGAATATTTACAAATTTCAATCGTTAAAATTTCTATGTAGTTTCAAATTACTTCAATTCGTATGTAACTTTTTTTTACAATAAGTTGCTAAAACTTAGATGCATGTATGAGCGAAAAGTAAAACATGAACAAATAAATTTCTGAAATAGAAAGACAATTCATTTATAGGTTATTTTATCTTTCTCCGTATTTTAAAAGGTTGTACATCCTAATACTATATATTTCGTTTTATCTTACCTTCAAAAAAAAAAAAAAAAAAATGTACGAAGTATTTATTAAGTGATGAATTTTTCTTATTGATTCCAATGGTTTGTCACACACACACAAAAGAAAAAAAATAGGAGTATGACAATTATTTGACCAAGACTATTTTTATTTATTTTTTTATTTTTAATGTATTTATTTCCCAACTCCCTGTTACCTGCACCCTTTTTAATTATAGAAAAATAGCTGGAAACTTTATTATTTTGAGCATTTTTCCAGCTTTTTAACCCAGAAATATATTAAAACAGAGTTCTCAAGTAGTAGAACACTACAACACCAACTATCATACTTTAAAACTATTTATTGTTTTGTTAGAAAATTTATTTTGCTCACCTCTATTTCACATGTTTATTGTCTCACTATTATTTTATCACATTTTTTATGGAAAAAAGTTGTGTTTTAACAAGTTGTCACATGTTGCTTCAAAAAAAAAAAAAAAAAAATGGTCACAAGTTGTATGAGGATTCGTCTGGCGATTCTATATAATCCAACATTCCAACCCGATTTTCGAACTATAAGTGAAATTTAATAACTCAACAAAAATTTATAATATTTGAAGAGTTGATTTTTTTTTTTTTTTTTTTTGAACAAATTTGAAGAGTTGATATTCGCTCAATATAATGACTACGAGTACAATTTTTTTTTTATAGCTATTGCAAATTGAATTATAACACATTTTTTTTAAAAACTTTTTTATAAAATATATTTAACTGTAACACTTTTCTAGCATATTTTTATTTCAACTTTAATTAATTTCTAAGTTTTCCTTAAACGACAATTAATCAAAAATAATGAAGGAAGTAAAAATCTTTATGAGCAATTTTGTATCACGTGGAGATGTCATGAACACTCATGGTATCATTCAATTCTCTGACTTTTTTTTTCAACTTCATTAACTTTCTTTGCACTTCCTATAATAGTTCTTAGAATACAGGACTATTATTCATGCATTTAGGTTCTAAAGAAGATCATTGACATGATTGACATCCAAACACGTAATTTTCTTAAAAGTTTTATAATTATTTCATGTACTAATCTTGAAATTCTCCAGCGCTTCTCAATTGTAGGAATGACAATGACTAAAAGTGCTATAGATGCCATGCCACCAGAAATGTAGAACAGCCCTGAGAAAGGCTTAAGGCCAACACTCGTGCTCGTGCTCGTGTTCGTGTTGTTTGTTGATGAGGTTATGCACTTGTAGTGAGCCAACAACTCTCTTTCCAACATCTCAATCTCTCCCCTTTCTATCGCTTTTAACATTGCTTGTGACATGTCTATAGATAGCGAAGAGCCCTTTGGAAATGCCTGTGAGGAACTAAATATCGTTAGTGGTAATTACTTTAAACGGGTAGCAGATTGACAAGTTTTTTTCATGTGAACTTACTAAATTAAACTGAGTTACCGACCAAAAATTACTATACGGTGGATAAGGTTGTAGAGAAATTAAATTGTTTCGGTACCAAACATTTTGTTTGATATAGACTTCAATTATGAAAGGAGCATTAAAGTTGAAAGGTACTACTCACAAAGCTTAAACCACCGAAGTAGTAGGTTGGACCAGCAATAGTGTAGTCTTTTCTATTAGTTTCGTCAATATTATGCATTTTGGTCATGAGGAATTCACTCAAAGCCTGTGTTTTCCTTGTTCATTTGTATTTCTTTACCTCTTTTGCTTAAAATTATATGTTTTTCAGAGTAAACTATCATATTTTAACCACAAAACTGTTACTTTCCTGCATGTTTGCAATCCAGTTCAGTTCATCTTCTTCATTTTTTTTTTATTTCTTGCTCAACTATTGCATCTTTTACTTGTAGTATGTGAGTGTACGCAGGCTACATTCTATATTCAGCCTTGTAGCATGTCATTAGTTGGTATAAGTCCTGTGATGGATTATGAATATTATTGTTAGGTGTATAATCATTCTTAGAGTCCCAGAATAATGTATATAATTATTGTATACTCCCTCTGTTTAATTTACCCACTTTCCTATTTTGAACGTTTCTTTTTAATTTAATCTCCTACTATCCAATTTTTTTTTTTTTTTTTTTTTTTTTTTTTTTTTTTTTTTTTTTTTTTTTTTTATACATAACTTCACAAATAATTTTATATGTCACCTTCAGTCTTTCACTTTTTAATTTTTGCCCTCTTATTTTTAATTGCGATTCTTGTAATTGTGAAGAGATAGGTGTGGAAATTCAAATTAAAAGAAAAAATGGAGGGAGTTAATTTTAGATCTTTTCCAGATCCCCTTTTAATGGCGAAAGCCATATTGATGGACCTCATCGTGACTGGTAATACGATACGTATATTTACATACCCTAAAAAGAGTTGAACTTTCACTATTTAATCATCACACAAATATTTTAAATAAATCAGTGATTCTTAATGGTATTTGCCCAATTTCCTTCGCTTGCTTTTCTTAATAGAGATGATCTTTATTCTGTATAACATTTTACTTCAGAAAAATGGAACGAACAGGACTGGAAGGGCTGCTTCCACCCGAATTCTTAAGTGACCCTCTGCAAACTGTGTGAGTATTGGTTCAATTTTCTGTGATAAATAGCTAGGAAAATTATGAATTATGCTTAACTTTTCATCCACGTATGCGGGATGATGATGACGCGACTATTTTTTTTCACAGCATCTTGAAGAACAATCGGCTTAGTGGGACTATAGATTTTGGTAGTAGCTCTAACCAGTTACTGGATCTCATTGATCTACAAAACAATTCCATCAGTAACGTCACATTGAAGCCTGGATCTAAATATACAATTATGTAAGCTTTTTTTAATGATTTCTTTTCTGCACGGGTATAATTCAAGGCTTTACTGAAATACACAATGTGCATAGAAATAAAGTATACGTAGAGTCGTAGACTATCTTTATTGAAGAGACTGTCCTCATAACAGGGATTAGGTATGTAGAATTTCACAGATAATATACGGTGGATAAGGTTGTAAAGAAATTAAATTGTTTCGGTACCAAACATTTTGTTTGATATAGACTTCAATTATGAAAGGAGCATTAAAGTTGAAAGGTACTACTCACAAAGCTTAAACCACCGAAAGTAGTAGGTTGGACCAGCAATAGTGTAGTCCTTGCAATACTTTGCTAGAAATACTTGAGCATGTGAAGTAACAAAGAAAGCAGCCTTGATTTCACCTCTTTGGAATGCTGTATGATACTCATCAATCGATCGCGTAGGCCTAATGTTGTTAAGTTTAAAATGCAGAACATCAACTAAGTAAGGGCAAAGGAATGAATTCCAATTGCAACCAACAGCTGCATTTTCTCTTCTTAGTGTATCGACGTCTTTCACAGATGGTGGTAATTGGGAAACTGTCATTAGAGATGTAAGTGCTGCTGTGAAATATATAGTCAGCATCAATATTAGGAATTGCCATGGTGCTAGAACAATCTTGGACAAATTGCTCCTCGGCGATTCATCTACAAAAGTAATGGTACGGTGAGTGTCAATATGGTTTAGTTAAACATATAAAAGAGAGCTATCAAAAACTGGCCCGACCTTTAGAAAACCTTACCAAACCAAAACAAATCGGACTAGACTAGCTATTAGCATACAATTGCACATAGCGTTAAAATTTCAATTCAAACCAAGAAAACCCAACCTTGTTACAGCTATCCAAAACTCTGCTGCCGAACAGGGCCTACACAAAGTTAGATTGATGATCAAACTAAAACATGACCCGACCTGACCAACCAATTGATACATCATTAATAATTCAAGGATGCTTACTTCTTTTGTGCAAATAATAGCAAACTGAAGGAGAACCAGAAAATTGTGCCAACTTGTTGGAAGAGTGATGAGTCTCCGAATTCTGGATCATCGACGTGTTCTATCAAACACACAACAAACCCCATAAAGAGGCCCATTAATGGAATGAGGATCCACATCTTCCTGTCAAAAACCTTCAAAAAACATCCACATCTCATTTGTGCTGTCATGTTTTACAGTGACAACCATAACCATACCAGACTTAGCATATGGCTGTGAGAAGTCTGCCCACTTGTATCTTTCTTCGAGTATGTTAATGTCCCCAACTGCTGCATCAAATCTCTTAACATACGCAACAGTCACTTAATTAGTACTGATACTGATCCATTCAAAAATTATATACGCGATTACATGGACAAACTTGTAAGTAATTTAACCGAAAACAGGACAATATTGCTGACAAGAATAACTGATGCAGAAAACTGGTATAGATGTTATATGGCTGACAAGATATGTATGAGACAGTGTTTAAGGTCTCGCGGTTGATGAGAAAAATTATGAACATATTTTTGTTAATTGTGTTAATATATTTTTGAATTAGAGTTACCTTCCGATGGATCTCGTGCACCAGTTCATCATATGTGCCATAAAAAGGAATCAAAGTAAAAGGCAGATCATAAGGTAGGTACTTCAGAGAGGCTCTGAACACATCAACAGCAAATCCTGTCATAAAAGTCTTGTTATGTACTTCGTCGAAGCTTACATTGACAAACGGATGAAATGCACCAGAAGCTGGTACACCAATCCTCAGGGGCTTCTGACTGATAACACCAGAACTGAACCCTCTTGAAACTGTCTGTTGGCTGCCTGGCCAATATATAGGACCTAATTTGACAAAATCGTTTTTTCTGCCACTTTGTGTTGGGGGTTTCGTCGAAAATCCATCTTCAGCAGACCAAAAGGCTAAATCGCGGTACCCATTTCCCACCACATTGATAATTTTGAAGGTTGGGAGTTGATCTATCATGCCATTTCTGAAGCTTATATTCCCACTCAAACCCACAAAGTTACTCATGTTAGAGTACAACTTACCTACTGAATCCTTTTTCGCCTTGCCAATTGCTAGTACTGCATCGTATGCCCTTAAAGCAAACAGACTAGGATATGGATTTCCTTGATCATTAGGATATTTTGTAAGATAACTTCTCTCAAATCTAATCTTGAATTTTTTGTATAACTTACTGGTATCAACAAAGCTGGTTTTATATCCAATGACACCTTGCATAGAAGCAATGACTGACGAATCAACAGAATCGAGTAAACTAGCAATTTCCTCTGATATTATCCAAACAAAACCTTTCTCTAGCATCCCCATCTGGTGTGCTTTTTGGAAAACACAAGTGGCTAGTTGAAGAGAAGATTGCAGAACTACAAAGACGCGATTTCTTCTTGTACTGAGCTTTCGGAACTCTTGCTCAATGGCAACTTCAGGGTCAAACAAGGAGTTTATAGGAGGGAAAGCCAAGTGTTGCTCTACAGTTGAATCAACTGACTTCAGTGAATCTGACAGAACAGAAATGATATCAGAATCCAGGGAGAAAGTGTTGCTTCTTTCATATATAACTGTCACTTTTCGCCACTGGAAATAGCTGACTATGGAGGTAAGGCATTGCATTGTCAATCGATATATTGCTGCTCATTCGGATCAAATTGGATGATGGCATTGGTAGTGATGCAGTAAGAATAGAAGTTGGAGGCAAGAATATGACAGGAATGTCCAAGAAGTTCTTGTGAACTTCAGATAAGACAGCAGCTTCAGGCAGTGCAAATGTTCCAATGATTGCTTTAACTTTGTTTTTGTGCAAGGAGTTTTAGTGCTGCAGGCATAGATAAATTAGACTAAGATAATCGACATCTTTATATAAAATCGAATGATAGACTAATAATACTACATACTCCAATTCTATCATTGCTCAAACTAAATAAAAACAGGCAGAAAGAGGCAGCTGAGGTATCCTGCCCTGGCTTCATCTCATCAAAGCAACTGAAAATGAAATGTTCCAAAATTAATGTTTTTAGCAGGACTACTGAACTGCTGTTCCCCGGCAACATGACACAACAGAAGTTACAAATATGAAGTTTCAAGAATTAAGACTATATATATATTTGTCTAGATATTGTCAGATTAAGACTGCTTTTTATTTGCACCTTCTTTGACAATAGTAGCCAAAGGGTCATTTGGATCAGGTTTAGTTCAGCTCGATTCAGTTGAGGTCATGTTCAGGGGAACTGGTCATATTCAGGTTTCATTGTCAAATAGCTTGTTATTGTGACAATCTAACCAATGAATCAATATTAGTCTATTCAGGTAGGTCATTTTTTGCTACTTGTTAATGAGCTAATATTTAGAAGTCCCAGTTTATGAAAATATTGTTGCAGGACATACTTTGTAGGTTGGTAGAGTAGTGTAAAAATGCAGAGTTTGAAAATTTTTAGTAGTTAATGAAATTTATGTCTTTTGGCGATTGGGAAAACAATACAAAAGACACCCACTGCTTCCGGTTAACAGCCTCTTCGTATGTTAGACATTTGACAGCTTCTGAAATATGATTAAACAGATTGTACCAAATGCACAAAGAAAACGATCTATGCTAGGGATAAGTATTTAGTTAGTAGTATTGAGCAGGAAATGTGTTAGTCATATAGAAACCCAAATACAGATCTTTTCTTGGAACGGAGCAGCAAAATCATACCAGTAGACGTGGCAGATTTAGAACTTTCAGAAGAATTTCTGAAATGCAGTGTCAGCTGTATGCAGCTGTCTCTATAAACATCTTGAACTGCAATCTTCATTGCTATTTCCTGTTCCTTTCCACACGAGTGCTGCGATCAATTATTACACCAATGCTAACCGTGACATTCTTGTGTACTAAGCAGTTGTATCTTCCTTGATTTACACTGCTTGTGTAGCTTGGCATCAGAAGCAGAACTACTCCAAGTATGTATACAGCAGGAAGCATGATTAACTTATAACTTACAAAAAGTTTGAAGTTAAGCCGGAAAAGGAACACCTATTATTTGCTCAAGAGGAAGTTGCCTTGGCTAATTCGTGCTAAAAATTTCGGACATTGCATAAATCATATTACAATTATAAGACATGTATAAGGGAAGATTCGAAAGTAAGGTCACTTTTAAGGTTGACATATTTTAAGCTATGCTACTGTAAGCCTTATTAAAGATCTCTCCTTGCTTATTTGACTGACATTGTTTATTTACAGGACATTTGTTCATCAACAAACTTACGGAATTTATTTAAAAAAAAATAAAAAATTACCTAATAGTTTGTGGAAAAAGCTACTTAATCTTACTTACGTAAGGACCCAATGATGAAATCATGTACAAACCGTTACTATTTCTTAATATGTCACTTCTATCTATCCAAATATACTAAAATAATATGTGACTATTGTTTTTAAATGGTTATCAGTGGGAAGAATTAGGTGGTATTATCAACCAAGTAAAGTCCTTCAATTGTAATTGTCTATAAATCTTTCTACAATTTCTTATCAATGCTAATTATTGCTTGTCCCTAAACAAATCTGGTCAATATAACTGAAAATTAAAACTAGTCGTGTTGATGTAAACTGAAAGCTAACCACACATATTATAAGCTTTTCTCTAACTTATTAACCAGCCCCACTTATGTCACTGATTGAAACATCAAGGGTCAATATCTACAAGCATTAATGTTCCTAAGCCCTACAATAATCTAACTTAAGACTACTTGCTTAATTATATATTGCTGAAATCCTACCGGAAATTTGATTCTTTTTTCCTTGTATTAGAAGATTGGAATCTTATTTATATATCATTGTCATGGTTGAATGGTCTTAATCTACAAGGATACACAATCGCGGTAATAACAAGTATGATGGAGAACTGAGATTTTTCAGCATTCTTTACAAAATAAATTTATGCCGTCATTTGATTTGGAGGAATAATCAAGCAACATCTTAAGCTTAAAAAAGATCACTTGCTAGTCCATCTTGATCTTCCAAGTGGATATATAATCCTCCCTTAAACGGCTGTCAGGGCATGTTGTTTGTTTCATCTTATTTAACTTATTACATAAAAATATATTCCAGATAGAAATAAGGCCAGTAAAAAAAAAAGTTCAGAAAAAATTAAGTCCAGACATTAATTTTTCAGATAAAATAAGTTAGAATAATTAAGTTGTGTTTTTACAGTGTAACAGCTAATAATGTTTTGCATATGCTTATGAATTGGGATATGGCCTCAACCATGGCAATCTAAACCTGGTTCGGTGTCTCAACATCATTGACAACCATGAACATATTCTGCTTCTTAAAATTGCTTCCTTAACAACACTCAAAATTCGCGATTGCAGCTCTGAAGGAAATACAATGACTAGAAGTGCTACTGCTGCAACGCCACCAGAGATGCAAAACAGCCCGGAGAAAGGCTTAAGGCCTACAATGTGGTGCTGTTGTTTATTGTTGATGTGGAGCACTTGCAACGGGTGAAATCTCATGCTCCAAACCTTCTATTTCTCCCTTTTCTGTTGCCTTCAGAATAGCCTGTGAAATGTCTGTAGACAATACAGAGCCCTTCCGGAATGCCTGAGATAACAAACAGTGGACCAACATGGAAAATAAGTAATGGACTTTGAGCTGCAAACTATGAAGAATTAAAACTACAACAACAACAACAAAAATAAACTTATAAAGCCACTCACAAAGCCAAAACCACCGAAGTTGTAAGTTGGTCCTGCAAGAGTGTATCCCCTGCAGTACTTTGTCAGAAAAACTTTCGCGTGAAAGGTAACAAAGAAAGCAGCCT